TGGACTGTGGGAGGAAACCGGAGCACCCGGAGGAAACCCACGCAGACATGGGGAGAATGTGCAATATCCACACAGACAGTCACCCGAAGGTGGGATTTAACCCAGGTCACTGGGCATCGTCCTGCCCCTTCATCTTATCCTATTCACCCCCCACCCTTCTCCACCCGATATCCACCCTGTGGTTGTAACTCACAAGCCTGTAATCATTCATTTGAAAGATCACAGGGAACCTCTGAAGTTGTCCAATCTATCAAGAAATTCGAGTAGCCTTTCATTGAGATAACTCTAATAACGAACAGTGCACTGGAAAACACATCTGTAAGTTTGAACACAGACAAAAGCACCAACATATTTCAAACTTTTCGAACAACAAAACAGATGGATGAGCTGGCTGTGAAAATGAAACTGAACGCAATGGGAGCATTTCATTTAGCCAGCTTTGGATTTTGCACGAGATTAACTTTTCACTCCTGTACAATGCAGGATAGCACTTTATCCAGTGGATAAACCACTCGCAGCCTTTGGAGATGTTTCACATGCTCTCTGCTGTTATTCCTCTTGACCATTTCTCAGTGGTTCTTAAACAAGACATGGAAGACAGCGGCTCGAGGCCAGAGGACAGTATGAAGACGAGACGTAGGCCATTCAGCCCATCAATTCTATTCTGCCATTCGACGAGAACGGGCCCATCTGATCATTCCCCACCTCCAGCCTTTCCCCCACTACCCTTCCTTCCCGACTCGATTCAAAACTTAAAAGTTTTCTTGAGGAGACTTGTAGCTCGGGCCGTGGATGGGGTTGGAGCCAAACATTTGGTCACCCTGCGAGGTAACACCGTCAGTGCGTCTCCGGTGAAGCATCGGTGTTTCTGTGCCACTGGTTATTTATATGCCTCGCTTTGCTGGGGAGGTTTGGCGTCACTTCCCTTTCTGTTTCTCACCGGTTTGTATATCGGGTCCAGTTCGATGTGTTTTGTTGGCACAGTCCCAGGTGGGAACGCCAGGAATTCTCTGGCGTGTCTCTGTTTAGCTCGTGACATTTATGGAATGTGTTGTCCCACTCGAGTAAGGATACACAAACACCAATGAGCCACCAAGAGATAGGGCCAGTTCTCTCTGGACTCAACACACACGGACAAAGGAGGACAAAAAATCCACAGTGGACAACCAGATTAAAATCTGTCTCTCTCAGCCTTGACTATGATCAATGACCCAGCCGTCAACAGCTCCTCCACAGTAAATAATCCCACAGATTCGCTCCCCTCAGACAGAAGAAATTTCTCCTCATCTCCGACCCCCTTGTTCCGAGATGGTGCTCCCTTGTCCCAGACTATCCCACAAGGGGCCAATAAAACCTTTCCTGAAACTACCCTGCCAAGTCCTCTAAGAACCTTGTACCTTTCAATCAGGTCGTCTCTTTATCTTCTGTATTCCCACGAACACAGGCCCCAACCTTCTCCTCATAAGACAGTGCCACCATACCCAGGATCAGCTGAGCGAACCTTCTCTAGTCTGCCTCTGAGACCAATGTATATTTCCATTGAGATAAGGGACCCCCCCAGAAACTATTTACAGAATTCCGGCGCCTTGTGTAGATTTAGCAAAACCTCCTGACTATCTCGAAGAGAATGAAACAAAACGAAGGCCAGAAAACAATCTGTTTCCCTTCCCCATTTCTTGCTAAACCCAGACGCTGGCTTTATGTGTTTTGTGGGTGAGGACTTCCAAACCCTTCTCTGCTCTAGCTTTCTAAAACGTGTCTCATAGTGGGGCAGGCGATGGCGTGGTGGGATTATCGCTGCCCTGTTTAACCTAGAGACCCAGGTAACATCCTGGGGACGCGTGTTCAAATCCTGCCACGGCACATGGGGTGATTTACAATTCTATAAAAATATCTGGAATTAAGAATTTAACGATGACCATGAATTTGTTGTTGAGGAAAAACTCATCCGGTTCACTAATGTCCTTTAGGGAAGGAAACTGCCATCCTTACCTAGTCTGGTCTACATGTGACTCCAGACCCACAGCACTGTGTTTCACTCTGAGCTGCCCTCTGGGGCAATTAGGGAGGGGCAATAAATACTGGGTCTGACCAGTAACATCCACATCCAGTGGATGAATGAAGATAAAAGCTGTCTGGAGGGAAGCCTAGTTCTGAAGGAAGAAGGTCAATGATCTTATCAGGTTAAGTACCAAGGTGTTGTCTCTGAGAGCTCACCCTCCCTCTATCTCTGTCCCTGTACCCACCTCTCGGATGAGCGGGCAGTGCGCAAGTCCAGAGGCATCGGCGGGGGGTTGGCTTTGGTAGGATGCCCACATTCCCAAAACGTTTCACTGAGGCTTCGAACATTTTCCCCTCCCACTCCCAATCCACCTCCACGTGCCCCATCCTTCACCTCCAAGCTACCCACTCTCTCAGGGCACCCCCTCCATGCCAATTCCTCCCTGTTGGCCGTTATACCTCCACCTCTCCCTCTCACTCACTCTCTCCCTCTCCCCAACTCCCTCCCTCCCTCTCACCCACTCTTCCCTTCCTTCCAACACCCTCTACCCCCGCAACGTCCCCTCCCCACAACACTCCCTACCCCCACCAAGACCCCCTAACACCCCCTACCTCCCCAACAGCCCCTACCACCCCCCAACACCCCCTACCACCCCCAACACTCCCCTACCTCCCCAATACCCCCTACCCCCCCCCCAACCCCCCCTACCCCCCCCCATCACTCCCCTAACACCGCCTACCCCCCCAACACCCCCTACCACGCCCCAAAACTCAGTGGCAAGGAGAGATGGAAGGAATAGGAGCCTGGCACCTCTGGCCAAGTGGACCGGGCACGAGGACGGAGGGCAATGCCAGGCAGGGGGAAGCTGTGAGCATCCACGTTGGCTCAGGGAGAGAGAGAGAGGCACGAAGAAAGGAACCCAGGGGTACCCAGGGTGGATCCAGTCAGAGCAGACCCATTGACAAAGACACATGGTGATGGCTGCCCAGTGTAACCCTGCCCCCGTCGGGGTGGCGGGGGGGGTTTTGGACGGTCCGGAGGGGCTGCTGCGTTTCGGGCACCAATTCCATGGGTGCAGGTACATACGGCCGGTGCCCCAGGGTGGGGGTCCGGGGCAAGTTGGGGGGGTGGGGGGGTCGACGTTTCGGGTGTGGACCCTCCGTCAGCAAAGGGGTAGGGTCCCCGACGCGAAACGGCAACCGTCCCGGCTCCTCTGATGCTGGCCCTGGGTTCCTCCAGCTCTGACCCTGTTTGTTGTCTCTGAATCCAGCTTCTGCAGATCTGACCATCCCCATTTTCCTATTCCCCCCGCCCCGGCTCCTGAGTGAGGGACGAATCCGCTGAGCGAGGGCCTGGAGGTGGGGATCGGCTGAAGGTTCCCTTTGATCACTGGCTGATCCCGATGAAGAAGACTCCCACACGGACAATTTGATCAGAGACTTCAAACTCAGGCAGGTACGGCCTGGCCCCGAAACCCCTCGGGAGATGGCTCTCCGGTTCAACATCCCTTTCAGAAGGAACAAAGTCTGTTTGACATGTTATTCAGACCGATGCTCTCGCTGGCCCGCACTATCAATAAAGTCACATCGCTGCTTTCAACGGAGAGAGGTTTATTGTCGCAATTAATCAGAATCATTGCTCCCAATTCCACACCAGTCCCCACTGGGCCCATAAAGTGAAACATCGAGGTGTCTGCCAACTACTTTATAAAGATTTAAAAGGTCTCTCTCATCGGGCTGTGCATTCCAGACCCTCCCCAACGACCCTGCAGACAACAAAACCTTTCCTTCTCAAATCATCTCAAAGCCCCATTCCTTTGGAGCTGGAGGTTTCTCTCCCCATTATTGACCGCTCAGCTCAATGGGGAAAACACAGGCGCCCTGATGCAAACTTTTAATTGCTCTCCAGTTTCAGGAGTTGTGTCAATTTACACACAAGCCAAGGAAGAATAATTGCGAGTCGCGAGTGCACACAACCCACCTCCCTCCCTCCGTTTCTCTGCCTCTATGTGTCCCTCATTGTCTCCCTGTCACTGTGTGTCAGTGTGGGTGTGGGTCAGTGTTAGTGTGTGTCTGTGTCACTATTAGTACCATTGTCTGTCAGTGTGCAAGGGTGTGTGTGTGTATATACCAGTATCACAGTGTGTTAGTGTGTGTCTGTGTCGCTGTCAGTACCATTGTCTGTCAGTGTGCGAGGGTGTGTGTCTGTATGTACCAGTATCACAGTGTGTTAGTGTGTGTCTGTGTCACTGTCAGTACCATTGTCTGTCAGTGTGCGAGGGTGTGTGTGTGTATATACCAGTATCACA